TATATATATATATATATATATATGCTAAACCAAATAAATAAATAAAACGAACACCAGGGTAAAATCATTAAACTGTATGAGTTTAATGCACTAAACAAATGCCGAGCTTTCGTCAGCGTTCTGCTGACATCATCAGGGCTTGATCAGCCAGTCCGTGGGAGTGTCTTTATAGATTGAACACAGTCTGCGCACGGCTTTTAGTGCATTAAACTCATACAGTTTAGTGCATTAAACTCATACAGTTTAATGCATTAAACTCATACAGTTTAATGATTTTACCCTGGTGTTCGTTTTATTTATTTATTTGGTTTAGCATGGATGCACCCAGGGATCATGTTTTTAGCATATATATAAATTTAGTCATAGTTTCCTTGCTCTCAATTGGGAATTCAAAATCACCAATGAATTTGAATAATGGAGAGTTCAAAACAAATGAAAGGAATCATTTGCACATGGCACATAGTAAAATAATGCAATTTGCTACCACAGGATATGGTGATAACTATTACTTTGGGCAGTTTTCATACTCCTTTCATACACGTCCATGTAGGTGTGTTAATAATCCTATCCCAAGATGTAGAAACCTTATGAGGATAATACAAAGTGAAGGACCCAACATTACATAATATATAACATTCAAAGAGTTGTTGTTGAGGCCATCTAAATATCTCATTGTCTTTTTAGTTCTTTATTCCTATTGCAACAACTAGATCAGGGGTGTCAAACTCAATTTCATTGAGGGCCGCATCAGCATTGCAGTTGCCCTTGGGGGGCCGGGTGGGTGTGGCCAGGGTGGGTGCGGCCTACTGGGTGGGTGTGGATGGAGTGGGTGTGGCCTACTGGGTGGGCATGGCCAGCTCTAAATTGTTCGCGTCAATGGTGCCTGTGGGGGACTGGGCAGGAGTGGGACAGATCTGAGGGTTTCTGGCAGAAGGGGGTGGGACCAGGGCAAGTGCCAAGGCATGGTCCACTGGAGGAGCCTCACTGTTCCTCTCATGCCATGTGGGGGGGGTTGGATGGTGTGGGCTGCCCGGAGCCCTGGGCAGCAGAGGTCAAATGCCCAGCCTGGCCCTCGAGCACCCGTGGCACCAAGCCCAGCCCCACTTCCCCAAGGGGGAGCCCAGCTGCACTTACCTCCTCCTCAAGGCTGCTGCTGCTGTGCTTGCTCTCCTTAGCCAGGTTGTTCATGATGGGTACCAGGGCAAAGTCAGAGGGAGGCCCATTCCCTCTCCATGGGAGGAGACCCAGCTTTGTATCCAAAGCTTCCTTAGCAATAGGTGGGAGACCGCCAGGATAGGCAAGGGGATGGTGAAAGGCCAGCAGGGCAGGACTTCCCTCAGACCCTCCCTCTCCTTTCCTTCTTTTCTTCCTTCCTAAGTACAGAGTGGTGGGAAAATATTTGAGATGAGGGAGGGAGAAAAACAGGCAAGAAACGCAGTTGGGGAGGTGTTACCCTTCGTGAGGAATGAAGAAATGCACCATCGCCTGGAAGTGGCCAGCACATCGCCCTCACCTACTTCACATACCTGGTTTGGTGGGCTCTGGGGGAGGGGATGCCATGAGCAGCATGAGAGTCAACGTTACCTGCGCAATGCTGCCAGCCTGCCCGGTTTCAGCAGGCAGTGAGGCGCTCTCCTCACAGCGCCGAGAGGCTGAGCCAGGCAGCGTGAATCCAAAAAGAAGTGAGACATTGCCCAGCCCCCAGCCTGCCCGGTTTCGGCAGGCAGCGGGGCGCTCTCCTCACAGTGCCGAGAGGTTGAGCCAGGCAGTGGAAAGCTTGCCAGCTTTGCACCTTGCTGCCTGCTGAAACTGGGCAGGCTGGGGGCTAAGCAGCATTGCACTTCTCATCAGATTCGCGCCACCTGGCTCAGCCTCTCGGCGCTGTGAGGAGAGCGCCCCGCTGCCTACCGAAACACCTCCTCCGGAGCCGGATATGTGAAGTAGGTGAGGGCCATTTGCTGGCCACTTCCAGGCGATGGTGCATTTCTTCATTCCTCACAAAGGATGACACCTCCCCAGCATGCACCCAAGGGGTGGGGCCAACGCGGCAGGTGCTGGTTCCTCGCTGTTTCCAGACAGCCATGTGGAGCTAAGACTGAATGTGTTTCAGCATAGATGGCCACCACAAAATTGTACATTGGCTCCCGGCCAGCCGGCCTGGGCCAGGGCCAAGGCAGTGGGGGCCGTTCCCTCACTGTTTTCAGGATGGCTTCGTGGGCCACATGAAACCACTTCGCGGGCCTCATCCGGCCCCCGGGCCTTGTGTTTGACATGTCTGAACTAGATCATTGTGGTTTTACAGCTGTGATACAATTATTGTTACCTAGCAACTTAAATAAATATATAAGAATCAGGTATGAAAAAAATGTAAATATAGTCAGCTAGCTGCCATTAGTCATATTTAGAATCTTAAAAGGTAGCAAACACATTTATAAATAGTGCAAATTCTGTGGTTAGTAGTTGTAATTTTAAAAATACATTCAGAAATCACTTCACCTTGGTCCTTGGTATTGGTACCAGAAAAGTAAAAAAAATAGGGTTTTTTTTCTCTAGAAATTTTGAATTTTGTTTACTAGGCTGAACTGGATATCTAACTTTGAATCTCATTTAAAGGAAATATTGAATAATATTGTTGCCATGAAAACTCTTATTGATTTCTGAGTATAAACTCAGACAAAGAGATTATTAGGCAAAGTATGCTTGAAATAGAGAAGGAACATGCTTCATGTTTTGGAGAATTTCAAAGTGATTTTGGATGCATTGTGCTAGTTTTAAAGAAATAATTGTCTTAGTTGTATGTAATATATATATGTGTGTGTGTGTGTGTGTGTGTGTGTGTATTTAGAGAGAGAAATCTTTTATAGGTAAATTTCTCAGTAAAATATGATTTTTGATATACTAACTGTTGAGTAGGGTATAGTCTTTTGTTCAGGCTAATAAATTCAGAAGTTCCAAAATACTACTATGTCTCAAGCAGATCCCATCACTAGAAGTGAGATTGAAGTTGGAAGAGAAACTCTAAGCCAAATTACAAAGAACAGTAATAATCCTTTCCCTGTGCTGAAATGAAACTGATGAAAATTTATTTGAGCCAGAATATCTGTGACATTAAGTACATGGCCTAGTCCAGTGGTTCTCAACCTTTTTAATGCCGTGACCCCAACTGGTCGTAAGTTGAGGACTAAACCGGTTGTAAGTCGAGGACTACCCAACCGGTCGTAAGTCGAGGACTTTCCCTGTCCGGGAACGCTGCGCATGCGTGGTTCCGCCCCCTGCGCCGGCCGAGGCGTAGCTGGCAAGCGGCAGAGACGGAGCAGGCCGACCACCAGCTGGCCCAGCCCAAGGGAGGTAAGGCACCCGCCGGAAAAGGGGAAAAAATGGCGGACAAAAAAAATGGCGGACAGCCTTGCTTGGCGACCCCCGTGAAATGGTCGATCGACCCCAAATGGG